TTCCCCCTAAAGAGTTGTAGTTGTCTGGTTACAAAACTAGGGAAAAGTTAATTATAGATTAGGTTTGCCAAATACTGCCATTTGTCATATCCATTTGCCCACATAAGGTCAAAGAATTCTGGCCACAATTCATACTGCATAGGCATGCACAAATTCCCCTAGCTCAGCTTTGCCCAGTTTTGGATCATATGATTTCATCTCACACTAGTTTACTACCACTCCCACTTAGAGTTAGAGGACAGAGAAAGAAGAGAGACCTGTCAATGATTTTCTTCTTGCTTCTAGAAGAAAGAAGAGAAGAGCTACATGTCCAGCATCCCCTTGCAATATTTCCCCATCACAATCAGGTAGCTCTAAGCCTTAGAGTCCAAGGTACCAATAGATGAGATTTAGATTATAATCATATCTATTGAATAGGCTATGTGCCTCTTCCCTATGTAAGCATTGTGAGATGCAAGTACAGGTGACCCAGAATAGTTTAAAAAAAAAAAGTATGAAAAATATATATATTTTTCTCAATAGCCTTAATTCCATGTTAGATTGAGGCAAGAAAGAAGAGTTTGAGTGTTCACGTCCTTAAATCTGGGTGTAGGTTATCAATTAGAGGGTCTCAAACTGTGGTCCATGGACTGCTGGTAGACTGGAAAACTGGCTGGTCTCCTATTGCTGGCTGCATTTTTTGTTTTCAGTGGCCGAATTACAATAAAAGACAATATATTAATCGTGTCCTGAATCTTACTTTTTCCATGAAAATAACTGCTGCAGCTGACAGTTCTTATTCAGTTACTAGTGGAACTGGAAGTGATTCACATGACTGTGAGAAGGAGGAGGGGCAGCTGCAATGCAGTCTTTCTGCAAAGACATCTGTGACTTGCCAGAAACATCTGAGAACTGCTGATCTAAATTACTGTCAGCTTTATTATTTTTTTCAGTATGACTTCCCTAGTAACAGGATGAATTACTGTCTCAGTATATTGCTCATCCTTTATTTTCTTTTTTAAAGTAAACTGTAATGCAGATTCCTAAAGATGAAAGTTAACGTACACAAGGAAGCCACAGAATAGCGTTAGTTTTTGTCTTTTCTCGTATAGTCATTATCTTCTCTATGTACTTGCTTAAAGGGGCTTGCTTTTGCAAACTGTGGAACATTAAACTTTGAGGGTGGATGTAGAAAATCTGAACGCTGGCTTTGGTTCTGTTCCTAAAGTGAAAGTTGTTTGAAGTAGTGTTCTCATTTATTTTTCCTTTTTCAGCTCCACACCTTTATATTTCTCAGGGATTAAGTCTGATGCTATTATAAAATAAAAACAGATCATGCCCTGAAATTTGTAACTCTTGCCATATATTCTGGAGGAACACTTAAGCTTTTTTCTTGGAAGAAAATTGTTCGATGATTGGATCACAACATAAGTGATTCTTAGAGACACAGCAGGTGTTTCCAATGTTATGTCCAAACTAGAGGAGAGAATAATATAGCTGGGAAAGTCTGTAAAAAGCTGGGGCAGGTGCTGGGATGAATCCATATTTGAAGCCTTTACGTTAACTGGGGAACAATGGCAGATATACAGAGGCTAAGTACAGACATTCTGGGGGTTAGGGAGAGGTTAAATTGATTCAAAATGGCTGCCCGATATTAGGTAAGTTGAGATGGAGAACTAGCAGGGAGCTGGGGGTCTGCTGGGGGTTGGAGGCAGGTGTGACCCATGTGGGGTGTGGGCAGGCATGACCCACAGGTGTGGGAGTCGCACCCGTACCCCTGTCCCTCTTGCCTCTCCGCCCAACAGGACTTACTTGCTTGGCTCCAGCAGTGGCAAATGCTGATAAAAGTGGCTGCTTCCCAAGTGGCCTATGGGATGGGGGTTGGGATGACTGGCTGGTTGTGGGGGAGGGCAGCAAGGGGCTGAGGGGGAAAAATATAGCCCAATACAGGTGGGGGTTGTGCAAAGAGCAGCCCCAGGACTGGGGCCAGTGGCTGGACTTTCCCAGCCCCTGGGCTGTATAGGGAAAATGTACAGAAGTTCCATACACCAGTTTAACTTAAATCAAATTTGATACTATATAGATCCAGGTTGATCTTTGTAAGAGGGGCAGTAAAGCCCCTCTAGTGTGTCCCAGACCCCCGCCCCATGCACCCCGATACTCACTGCAGGAGTTCAAATGAGTGGCAGCCGGGGAGAAACGCGGATGCAGGCTCCGCAATTCCAGAGCTGCCTGAGCCTGCATATTGGCGATCAATAGGGGCAGAGCTTTGGAGAGACGCGGGCTGCTCAAAAAGCAGCTGGAAGCACAGCTGAGCAGCCGGTGGGGGAAGAGCGGGATGTTGGCCGGGAGACACCGTCGATGCAGCCAAGGATCACAAGCCTGGAGTGCAGGGAAACAGAGTGGAGCGTCTGCCAGAGGGCTCTGGCAGACTGGACAAGAAGCCCAAACCTAGGGGGTCAAGGGAAGCCTGGGAGCGACATCACAGCCCCATTAGGGACCCCAGGTATTGTGGCTGGGGATGGTGGCAGAGCTGCTAGCTCTCACAGACAGCTCAGCAGGGAGGAAGGCATAGCCCAGTATGGGAACTACGAGCCCCACCAGCTTGGGAGGAACAGGAGGTTGACCCAGCTGGGACCCAGAGGCAGCCCACCCTTGCCCTGCACACAGATCTGGGGGGCACCGCCCCCCCCATACTTTCCCAGGAGCGCACGCAGCAGTGGGAGCCATTCTCCCTCCATCTCCACACCCTCCCAAATGAGCCGCTCGCAGCTCCATCCCACACCCTGCCCTGGCTGGGCAGCACTTGTTGGTGCCCCTTTGCTTCAGTGCCTAGAGTGGTCACCCTACTCACCCTCCATCTCTTGCTATGGCACTGCTTACTCCTCGCCCCATCAGTGCAAGTACTCTCTTTATTATATTACAGATACACTGCTCTAGATGGAGCAGGAGAATTTCTGGGAACAGTTCCCCAGTTAAGCATTATCTACTACACAACTCTGTGGTTCTGTCTGTTCAGTGTAGTATCTTACTACTTCACATTTCCCAAAAACTTGAGTCCTTGATTCTGCTTCATTGATGTCTGTGGGAGGTTGAAACTGACTTATTTGAAATGGGGTCAAGCACTGTTTCTGCATGTATTGCTGTTGCTTGCATCTGTTTCACAGCTCTTTCATTCTTTGTCTAAGTGGTACTATAAACACTGTTGCATTAGATTATTTTTAAGGTGCATATTTGCATGGTCACTGACAACAATATTTACTGCTGTGTTCTAATTTGACATTTATTTTTTTCTGTCCGCTTGTGCAGTGAGTTTACTTTAAATCTAAGGCTGATTAAACAGTTGTAGTAGTTCCTGATAACAATTTTCTAGCTGAAATATAGGTTGTAAAAACCCACTGTTTTTCCTTATAGCAATAATATTCCTTTAAAAAAAGGCATATAATAAACTATATCCTTTCAGATTTATAGTAGTTTTCTGTGGGCTTGTTGAACAGAAAAGCCAGTGCAAAGGATTTCTTAGAATCTGGATCAAAGCAAGCAGCCCTTTATGTAGCATTCCTGCTTGAGCCGTGTCTAGTGTGAAATGTTATTGATGGAAGCTCTTGATGTAGCTCAGTTTGGTATGCTTCATTTTTATAGTTTAGATGGCCATTAGTATGTATTTCCACACATAAGTATAAGTTTTGTGCAACTTTGATCTTGAAGTGGGTTTTGTATTTCAGACTGTTTACAGGTGTCTGATGCTTTGATTTCTTTTAGATTAATCTCATAACTTCTATCTTAAGTGGCTGTTGGTTGCTTTGGGGGAGAGAGATTCTTTTATGTTTTTGGTTTAATTATAATCATATATTTTCACTGTCATCATATTCTAGGGAAATATATTTTCCAAATTCATAAATTTGGAACTCAGCACAAGTATTGCATTTATGAATTTCCTATTTATATGGGCGATATTTATTGGAATGTCTCAAGAAAAATAAAAACATGGGATCTGAAAGAGATGTCTACATATATAACCCACTACGGGCTCATTGATTGCAGGTGATGTGTAAATTATAGCATGACCTGGAACCAGTCTTGTATAAATTGAAAAAGTGTTCTCCCATGAGTCAAGAATTATGCAAAGTTCAACTGGATAGAGAATAAAGTTGGCCAAAAAGCAGAATTAATGGGACACACCTTTATCTCCCTGTTGCTCTCAATCTGGTTTTGGTTGGAATTTGAGTGAAAAAAAACTTGTCCTTATTTCCCACACATTGGAAGTTCCCTGGGGCCTGTGGCTGCTTTGTAAGATAGACATTTGTCGGATTTGCTGCTCCTTGCTTCAGGACAGGATCTGTGGTTTGAGAGTAGCCCTGCCATTCAGCCCTGGTGATACAGACCTTGGGATCCTTTCTCATGACTTCCAGACTCTGAGTCCCAGGTTCTGAGCCAGAGGTGGGAATCCCTAGGCTTCCACTTACCAGCTGCTGGAATCCAAGGATACCTGGTGCTGGGTTTTACATATGGATAATCTGTCCTGGAGCCACAGACCATGCCCAGATAGACCACCCAGAGAGAGAGACAGAGAGATCTAGAGCTTCCAGAATCTCTAGTTCAGTACATCCATTGAGTCAATCTGTTGTGGTGTAATGGACCCTGGAAGTACATAGGGTACTTAGCACTGGGGCAGTTGATAGGAGTCCTGGTAGAACTCTAGTTAAGACTTGGGAAAGTTTTACTTAATCTGACATGAAAGTTAGTTTTTGCTGGAAAGTTTTCCAACCAGTCCTAAGGCAGAAATACTCAGCTTTGTGTCATTCTCTTATTTTTAGGGATCTAGAATATTCAAATTTCAAATGTATATTAAAACGTACCTTCAAACTGCTTGTGGCATATCAGATTGCTGTCTGCCAAATCAAACTGTGAATGCTTTGTGCATATATTTTGAATTATAGCAACCACCCAATTATACCTTGCTTTCTGTTAGCTATTGCTTGAAATTTTCATTTTAATTACTTAGTATTTCTTTTCTTTAGTCTCAGGTGAATCATCATTCTTCAGCTAATAATGAAACCTATCAAGAACGATTGGCACGATTAGAAGGTGATAAAGAATCCCTCATATTGCAGGTATGTATAACAGCATTGGCATTTACTGGATACAAATTAGAGGGAGGAATGGAAGATGTATGAAGCAATCTATCTCAAGTCTGTTTTGTAAAGCAATAGATCATACCCTGTACGAGAAACATTGGCTGGCCTGTGAATGTAAATGTTGCTGGATTGGAGGAAATCTTAAGCTTGCAGCTAATCAGTCTGGCTATTATCCAGTTTGTTTTTGTATATGTAACACATAGGAAAAAATGAGGCAGTGAGCAAGAAGTAAAAGCATATGCAGAATGAGATGCTTTTCATGGACCTCTCAGCCCAAGTTAATGACACTGTAGAATGATCAGATATGCCTGTTCCTAGTGATTGCTCTGTTTTAACTGAACTGATTTTTGTAGAGAATATGATTTTTGTGTCATCCTTCTCTGACTGGGGGTGGGGGGGCGTGTTTGGTAACCGTGTTAGTCTGAGACAAAAATAAATGCAAAAATCTAGAACTCTTGGTTCAGAAATGATACCTTCTATTAGACCAAGTAAGATATCGCAGAAAGACAATTTTTTTTTGCAGTTTCTTAGTCAGTCTGATAAAAGGTATGATCTCTGAACAAAGAGATCTAGATTTTTGCATTTCACTGAGTGGTGCACACATTACATTCCTTTCTCCCCCAACTCCAGAGCCTCAGCTGCCATAAATCCATAGAAGTCAGTGGAGTCATGTCAAGTGATGCTTGCTGAGGACCTGTCCTTCAGAGTTTATCACTGACTATGAATGTCCAGTTGCACCATTGCCTCTGTATTATGGCTCTGCCATAATATGATAAGAGAAGATATGACAGATATGAGAAGTCCTGCAGCATGTTGCTCAACATTGTACTCTAAATTGAAAGGAGAAGTTGTGAGTCAAATGCACTTCCAGATGACCCTTGTGGTCATTATTGTCCTGGGGGACATCAGACCTCCAAAACAAAACACATGGGGCACCAGGAGTTTAGGCTTCTGGGGAAAATTACAGAGGAACTGATGTCCCCCCAGTGAAGTGCAGTTTTTCAACATTCACTACTTCTACCCACTAAGTAGCAGCCCTCTCAACTGTCCTTTTTCTTCTTACCCCAATGAGAGTAAGTTTTTTGACTTTCTAGAAAAGCCTGCGACATTTGGCTTGCCCAAATCCTGGTTCTCTGTTACAAAATCCTTGCCTTTGAATTACCTAAACTAGTTCCCATCCTCAAGAATCTAAAAGGATGGGAGAATTTAATGAAAACATCCAAATAAAATTTAAGCCTGAAACTGATTCAGCTTCTGCCAGGCTTCCAGCTTCTCTGTTTCCCAAAATCTGTGTCTAAAGCAGGATTTTTGCCCTATGTGAAGAAGTATTATGCTTGGAGAATATAAAGCTGCACAGACATAGATGAAAGTCCTTGAGTTTTTCTGAATATTTTCTCCTTTCCTGGATGTCAGAGCAGCTGGTCTTAAAAACCTAAAGCAGGAGTCTGTCTATGTATGCATTCCCTCTGCATCTGTAATTAACTCTTTGTCCATGCCTGATACATGTGGATACATATTTTTTTCATCTTAGTAATAAGTTTCTATAAAAGTGTCTCATGTATGTGTTTCTGTTCTCATTTGATTTAATTTACCAATTAAAGTTCTCGTTACCATTATAAAATAAACAGTAAACCTGTCACAAGACATTATCATATGGCTTGGCTTGAAGTCTTCATACCACTCTAATTAGAATTGCCATTAGCAAAAATTCTGCAGTTAAACTGTTTGAAATCTTGTTTAAAATCATAAATGTTGAGCTCTAAGCATGCTTAACAACCTGTTTGGGTTTGTCTGCAAAGGAATTTCATAAAATACCATCAGCCGTAGGAATCTGTGGCTGCTTACAGACTTGGGTGAGGGGTTGCGGGGAACAGTGCTTTACTTTGAACTCAACACACTCCAGCACCAAACCCAACACATGCCCAAAAGAGGAATCACATTAGTTGCATCTGACTTTCCCAGTGTCTGTATAGATCAGGCACTTTAGTGGGGTGTTTTGGTGCTTTTATCTAGTAGCTGATTGAATCAGCTTTAGCTAAAAGCATGAAAAAGCCCTGCTGAAGCACCCCATCTGTACAGACACTGCAGAGACAAGTCAAAGTAGCGTGCTGTTATTTCTAGTAAAGCGCTTTTTTCCCCCCACGTCTGTCAGTGCCTTATATGACTATCCTCAGGAACCAGGTGAAAGTAGGTTATTCGGCATTTCATTCTAACTCATTCTCCCGCCCCAACTTGCCTTACTACTGTTTTGTGTTACAGTAGTACTGAGTGAGATCCCAGCTAGGACTAGAGTCCCATAACATGCACTTGGTAAGAGAATAGGCCTGCCCCACAGTCCTTCCAAATGAAGTGAACAATGTCTAGACTTCTCAACCTGAAAGTGATTTTTTGTTGTGGTTTAAGAGCCATACCACAGACTTCAGGCCAGATTCAGTGTCCCACATTATATCCATTTGCCTCTCCAGAAAGCCTAGAGGTGATAGAAACCTTCTGCAGGACCCTGTTGGCAACTTCACGGGTGTGAGGTGGCTCCCAGTGGGCATGTGCTTTCTAGGCACAGTGGGTGCAAGGCAGACAGGCCCAGGCCATATAGGATCAATTGTTCCCCCTTCTTCCTCCTCTGTAGTGTGCCAGGCCAGTTCAGCATCCCTTTTCCCCCCTTTCCTGGCTCACCCAAGTTCCAAAGTGGCCCTCCAGCCAAAAGAGTTACCCACCCTTTCTCTAAGTACAACCCAGTGACCTGAAGGCTTTGACAAACATGAGGAAACAGTGAGTTTTCAGCTGCTCCCATCTCAGTACTGAAACATCCAGCCCATACTTGTAAAGCAGCTGGGATCTTCTTAAATGACTTTGTGGGTTACCTTAAACATTAAAAATTTTCCTTGTGGATGACAATATCAGCCACCACTTTCTCCAGCTGAGCCTGGCTTCCCCCACAGCCTCTCGACAGACCCATCTGGAGTGAAGCAGGAGCAGCTCTGGGGTCCCTCCTGCCTCTAGGGCAGCTAGGAGCAGCAGCAGGAATGGGTAGGTCCTTCCCTTCCTGTACCCAGAGTTGTAAGTAAAGAGGGTGAGGATGAGAATAGAAGTGGGGGGCAGGTACTGCTGAGCATGAAGGGGAAAAGGAGAGCTGAGAGGAGGGAGTTAGGTTCTTACCTGCTTCAGGGACTTAAAAAAAAAAAAAAAAAAAAACCCCAACAGCGCCCCCT